TTGTTTGTGGAAACTTTGCAGGAGTTCCTTTGGAGACATGAAGAGGAACTAAAGGCTAAGCAGATGCTATAGGCTAACAAGACCTAATCGTTGGTCGTGGCAAATGAGGAGACATGTGACAGTGGAAGCCAGAGGTTCCTGCAATAGCACAAGAAGTTTGCTGTATATCAACAAAAAAGTAAAATAGTAGAGTTACATCGTAGAGAAAATCAAAGAAAGACTAAAGTTTGAAGGCCCTTTCAAGTTACGACCATTCCAATACAATTCTCCATTCAAATGACAGAAGGTTTAGTGATGGATGATAGGTCAATGGAATCTGAGTGCAAATCATGTAGAGCGGGCAGAAATTTTCAAACATGCGCCAAAGACTAATAGGGTTGGTAAACTAGCAAGTGAAGCAAAAGGGGTAGGTGGCCCATATTATTCTAAGCCTAAGTCACATGATCACTTAAAGGGTTAGGTGACTAGTTTGGTCCAAGGGGTGGGGGAGGGGGTGGTTGTTGAGGTCTATCATCTCCTCACTTGACTCCAACAGCCCCCTTAGCTACTGTAGCAACAATAAAGGTTTTGAGAAACCACCCTAACACATCTAGGAGCTTGGTTGAAACTGTGATGGCTTTGAATAACAACTGGGTATGGAAGATGGTGGCAATGACAAACACCTCAACTCCAGAAAAACCTAATATGAAGTTCAATAGGGTTGAGCGTGATGATTTTGAAGAAGATTGTGAGTGATTTTGAATACCTAAGGTAGGTGAAGGATTATGAGACAAAATAATCTTCTAGTATCGGGAGTGTTCTCTCCATTAAAGCCTGTAACTTGTGGGATGATGAGATGTGAGGGATGGAGCTCCAATTTGAAGACCACTAGTACAAGACTTCTTTGGTACCGAGAGAAGAAAATATTGAACGTCCTACTTCAACCTTCTAGGTGGATTTAGATGTAGCTGAAAGAGAATATGGAAAACAATCAAAGGGCATTCATAGGATATTCATGTGGGATTTAGGTCTTGACACTGACCCAAGCAAAGAAACAATGGAGGAATGATCAACAAATGTTATCCTAGTTTTACTTGACAAGGGATCCTTTTCAGCGGGTAGTGAACAGAGGAAGGCTTATAGTAGTTTGGAGCAAGGAGTCTCACTTCTTTGCAGATCCAACTAGTGCCACACCTCAGTTTGCTTCTGACCGAAGTGCCACAGTTAATTGGGTCTAGGGAACTCTTTTTTTTTTGATGAATAGGGAACTCTTGGATAGTAGCTTAGAGAAAGAGAGGGATAGAATTATGACCAATATCCTAGAGAACCTAGTAGATTTGGCCCTAGAGAAGGTGTTGGTTGGAGAAGGGTTGGAATACCCCAATACCCAAGTGTGAAGGACTTGTGTCAAAATTTTCTTGAGGCTTAGGTGGGAGTAGTGACGCAAAGCCAAGAAAGGAAGGATTGGAAGAAAAGAATCAAGAGAGAAGGGAGGTAGGGGAAACTAAAGTCTACCTAAGAAAGAAGGGAAAGCAAAGGACAAGAAAAAAAGTGGGACTAAGAAACATAAATGTGGAATTAATTACGAGAGGGAGGAAGGTAGGAGAAAGGAAAGAAGAAAAGGGGGATGCTGATTAGAATTACTCAAGGGAATCTCAATCGGTTGAAATGAAGATAATAAGATGGAATGTGGGGGATTAACGTGTTTAGGAAAGAAAGACCAGACTTGGTCCAAGAGCCTATGTTGTCTGAGGTGGATAGAAAATGGATAAGAAGTATCTGGGGATCTAGAGGTCTTAGTTGGTCTTTTGCACCTTCATGGGGAAACGGGGATTTTCACCATTTGGAGGAATGAGAAAATGGAATGCTTGGAGGACTTGGTATGTGTTTGGAATGGGGGACGTTTATTGACCAAACGTTTTGTACTTGATTTGTTTGGAAAACCGAGAAAAGGAATAATGAACCCATTTATTGACACTTTAGCGCTTCCCCCAACGGTAGACGCGCACATAAACCAAAGTACACTTTTGCAAGTTCCTATGCGTACACATAATGGGGGAAATGCTGAAGTGGCGCCTATGTGGCAGCGTTTATTTAATAAACGCCCATGGTTCAAAGCACCCTCTTAATTGGCCAATACTCAATTTCCCTAAAAATCAAGAGAGTTTTGGATTGAAGAGAGTGGGTCTTAACAAATGTTTATGGCCCTAATTCTTTTTGAGATTAATATGGTTTTTGGGAGGGGTTGTCTACAATTACGAGATTATGGGAGGGCCCTTGGTGTGTGAGGGGTGATTTCAATGTCATAAGATTCTTGAGGGAAACAAATAACCCAAACTTAGGCATCACAACTAGCATGAGGGAGTTTAATGGTTTAATTAACTCCCTTGAATTGAGAGAACTTCCACTATTGCAAGTGGATTTTACTAGGTTAAACTTTCAATTCCCCCAACTTGCTCCAAATTGGATAGATTTATCTTCTCTTATGATTGGGAAGAATTGTGGGGGACCCTAGTAGCAAGGGGTTTGCCTAGAGTTACATTAGATGGCAAATGCTCGTGCTAGGTTCTCTTCAATCAGCAAGCTGGTGTGGGAGGACAGGTGTGGTGAGTCTAGTTCTGAAGTTAAATCTGTAGCTACTTCTTGCTATAAGAACCTTTATAAAGAGAAGTGGGTTTAGAGACCTTTTCCCTCCGAGCTCCAATTTAATAAGTTAAATGAAGAGCAGAAAATCTGGTTAGAGAGACCACCATTCTCAAAAGAGGAAATTA